AAGGAATTTAATTTCAACTACAATAGTTCGCGATAAATCCAAAAAAAATGGGCAGAACACCCTATCGAAACGACAGTTCCAGATTGGTTAAGAACAAAACTTAACTAGGTACTTGATGAACAATCATAAGACGTTAACATTCTATGCCATGTTTTATGGAAGTTGAATATAACATATAGTTAAGTGCCATACTATGTATAGTTATTCATGCCAAAATTAGCTGAATTGGTAAAAAATAAATAAATAAATTAAATCTTGAAACTCTCGAAATAAAATCGTCCGTTGAAACATTAATCTACGAGTAGAAAATGCACAGTCAGTTTCAATTTAATATCGGCTAATACAGTTATAAATTATTTTCGTATATACATTTCAGAAAATTGTTGAATTATCACCAATGAGAACACTATCGATCTTCTATAATGTGACTTGTTCTATTATACGAAATTATTGCCAATGAAAACCAATCACTCTTATTGACCTTTAAATGAAATTGAAGAGGAAAAGCGATAACAAGTGTACAAAGCTAGTAGAACCCACATTGAATGTCAGTTGACAGGAAAAAGAGCAAAGCCTCATATCGTTAACGGAATACAAGCAATTTTGCCGAGACTCTGTTTTTGGCATTCCCTCAGAAAGTCCACATGTTGCTAGCCGTATACTTATTACCTTCCAGGTTTTTCCTCTTCTTTCTTCCCATTATTTATCCAATTACATTTTCAGAAAAGTGAATGTCGAGCACGTCCCGCCGCCGGCTATACGTTAAATATATTTTTAATAACGCGAGTCATTCTTCGCTATTCTAACTTTCCACTTTAATTTTCTTATGCAAAGAAAAGTTGGACCGATTCGGAAAAGTTTCCATCACTCAACTTCATCTTCGCGTATTTGCGTTCCTCGCGATGTATTTGATTTTATGTTCTCGTGAGAAATCTGGAAGTTATTATATTAGTTCCCACCGCGAGATTTAGTCTTTGCATTTCGCATTCCAATTAGTTATCGTCCTAATTTGTCAATATTGAAACTTCCCAAGCTGACGAGAAGATCTTACGTGATGTGAGATTTCCTTGTTTCGGTTGGATAGGTGAGTAATTACGGTGAATTTCTTGTTTTAAGTGTTTCTCGTAAGAAATTTGTCTGTGTAATTTTTTTCAATCTTCAAAGATAAATCTTCAAATTTAGTTTTATAGGACTCATATATATTGGCTAGGCAATTTTGTTGTAAATTAAGTATGAAAAATTGGCTCAGTTTCATTACTTTCATTGTAGATGGCCATTGAATTATCAGACTTAAAGCAATCGACAATTTGTAGTGTTGTTGAAGAAAAGAATCTATTTGTCAATGAACCATTAGTTGAAATATTCTTCAATATTTTCCACATTTTGAAGGAAAAATGCCAATTTTTATTTTCGAGATGAAATGTTTCATTTTGGTGAATGAACACATTTATGAAGAGGTGGTTTTAGACACACTGCGTAGTTTCTGAATTCATTTCTAGGCCTCCGCATCTTCATTTCGTTGTGGGTCGACTGAAAATCTATTTCGTAAGGTTGCTTTCATCAAATTCTTGCGGAATTCGCTTTTTGTAGTAAAACTTCTTTAGGCGCGACCAGGAAAAAAGTTAATGCTTCGGACGACGACAATGCAACGGAAAAGCGTTACGGTGGTGACGAATTTGAAATACTGATTTACGAGTAAACTATCCCATCTATGAACCGAAAACCGAGGCAAATTATTCCCCCTACCTTCTGCAATAAACTCTTCGTATGTTCTCGTAGAATTACATGAATGACGTGCAGTGGACGAAAATATTATAAACTTCATTTTATTGTACAACAATCGATGCATCTCTCTCAAAAAATTCAGAGAATTTGAGGTAGATCTTTGATTTTAATTAGCATAAAAGTTGTATCAATTGTATCAACAGAGTGTTCTCATTTTCAAGAGTAACACCATTCTCAAGATATAAATTCAATTAAAATAGAAATAACTAAAAATAGAAATATAATTTTGGGAAAGTATGTTTAATGTTTTAATTCAATTTATATTAAATCATGTTTCAATAAGGGATCAGCAAATATTCAATCAAATGATGTATTATTATCGATGTATATAAATATTTCTATAATCTTCTGTTCTCATATGAGCAATATTATATACTTTTCAATCGACTTCTTGAATTGATTATTCTCATTATTAATCGTCACTCGTCACAATGTCAAAAAAGTTTCAACGTACAACAAAGTTAAAATTTTCTTTATACGAGTCGATTTCAATTCTTCATATGATAATGGGAAAAATTCAAAGATTTTTTTACTATGCATTTTAATTTGCTCCAAGTATCTACACCTCGTCATTTATAAAATGTTATTTCAACTCCCCAGTTGAACAAGACGCCAAGTAAAGCAATTGAAAAGAGTGCTTTTCATGAAGGTTACCCGCGAATGTGATAACTTTAATGATTATGTTGAAATTATGTTGAGATCTTCTAAAAATTTGGGTGAATTTCAATTCATTTCAACAGTATTATTATCTGTTTTGATTGTAGATTGAATTATCGCTTACCTCTTGGTGAAACATGATCAAATGAAAATTCAAATCAAATTCCTGGCTTAATTATTCCGACATTATCATCACAACAATATCAAATAGTCAACATGTTTCGGGCGTGAGCTCATCTTCAAGAAAAACTGTCTTGAGCTCATGCTCGAAACATGTGACTATTGATATTGCGTTTAATCTAATTCAATATTCAATTATGTTTCACCAAGAGTTAAGCGAAAATTCAATCTCAGTCTTCGCTCAATGTTTCACGAAAATATCGAATAAAATAAAATTACAGTGATAGAAACATGTCGACTCAAGGTTGTTATTTTGTTTTATTCGATATAATCGTGAAACATTAAGCCAAGAGTTTAATTTAATTTGATATTCAATTATGTTTTAGCAAGAGTTAAGCGAGAATTCAATCTCAGTCTTGGCTTAATGTTTCACGAATATATCGAATAAAATAAAATTACAGCGATAGAAACATTTCGACTCAAGGTTGTAATTTAATTTTATTCGATATAATCGTGAAACATTAAGCCAAGAGTTCAATTTAATTTGATATTTAATTATGTTTCACCAAGAGTTAAGCGAAAATTCAATCTCAGTCTTGGCTCAATGTTTCATGAATATATCAAATGAAATGAAATTACAACGATCGAAACATGTCGACTCAGCGTTGTAATTTTATTTTATTAATATTTCATATATTTGTGAAAACTTAAACCAAGAGCTTGATCGTTATTTGTTATTTTTTTCAAAATAAAATCATTTAAGCGGTATGAACGCGTAAAAGCCATCAAAATATCAGTGCAAAATGGTTCAGGTGAAATTTAGAAGAGCCTTGTACACATTCTCATGTCGTACCGCCAGAGATCTCCGCTAATTCATAGCAAAAAGTACGTTAGCTTTAATGAACAATTCTAGCTCTCGGTAATCGCGCGCCAGAATTTCATAAAAATTTAATCGCGGACCTGTTAACCATCACGCCGCCATAACGCTTTTATGAATATTTTATGGTAAATTCGTCTGAGTTCGCTTCATGATTTGTTTATTTCAATTAGTAGCAACAACCGGGAATTAGTCGCTTGAGTCGTGCGCACGGCTTATAAACCCCATTTTGCCCTGCCGGAGCGCCCGAATTAGGACTTGCCGCCTCCGGGCGGCGTCTGCAATATTATATTTGTGCAATTGAATTTTATATGAGATGAACCGGAACGAACCGACGTATTAGCCGTTTCCGCGATACGTCTTGTGTGGATTATATTACTTTAGTCGGAGATTGAATTGTCCGTGTAAGTTGTGTTGGTTTAAAGGAATTAAGAGTTTGTTATGTGTTGAGCGATTCGGATTGCATTCTGAAGATCGTCATTTGAATTAGTCAAAATGGAATTGATTCTATCGTTAATATTCTCTCTTCTCTATCGTGGTGTAACTTGTTCACAAGTTGTCGTTCCCCTCATTCGAATCTAGGACCTGTGGGCGTTTTGAAAGTCTCTTGATTGATTGAATAAATACGGAATGATGATTCATAATAATGATGAAACAATTGTATCCTATTATCATTCAACAAGATCGATGATTTTTCCGAAGCTCACTTAAAATTCACTCTCGTTCGTGAGTTCTCGTTGACAATATTTGTGTAGACAGCCTCGCGAGAGTTTTATTTGAAATATTACGATTAAGAGTATCAGTATTTACTGGTATTGAATGATTTGTGAATCTTGAAACTAGCTATACTTGTGCCCGCCGGGGCGTGATTTGGAGCGATTAGGCATGGGACTATTCTTACACATTGCGGACAGTTTTCTGTACTGTTCGAATGAAATGTTTACAAAGCCTCACACTTGCGCTACTGTTATCATGAGTAGTGATCTTGAACGCTAGGGAGAGTTTATACGTATTTTCTCTGATAGAGGGAGCTCACGTGAATATTTCACTGAGAAAACTTCCCCTCAGTTTGGTATAGGACCTATGGGCGTTTTGAAAGTTATCAATTCTTGATTTGATTAATAGATTAAATATAATTCATAATAATGATGCAAACAATTGTATGCTCTTATCATTTAACAAGATCGATGAATTTTCCGAAACGCTCTTAATATTCACTCTCGAAAGTGATGGGTTCGTTCTCGTTGACAAACATCTCTGTAAACAGCTCCCTACGAGTTTTATTTGAAATATTTCGATTAAAAGTCTCAGTATTTACTATATATATAAATGCATATATGTCAATTAAAAATCAGTATTCTTAGCGAATATTTTTCATTTCCGCTTCGTCAAAACTTGAAATTGATGGTTTACACCAAGAAAATCGGAATCGGATGAATACAACAAACAACTTCTGGGCCAACAACAAAACCTGGCAATGTAGTTCTCCTAAATCTGTTTTCATCAAATTTTATTACGCAATTCAACACAATTCGATATACTAACACTGTAAGGTTTGCCGGTCTCCGTGGCTTAGTCGGAAGAACATCCGACTATGGTGCGGTAGAACTCGGATTCGAGCCCCGCTGAAGGCATAGGTGTTTGTGTTTGTCTATGATTTAAACAGTTTGAATAATGATATATGCTGGGTAATGATATTCATTGATTACAAGCCCAATAATCGCTCGGAACCGGCGTTAAACTGTAGGTACACATAATTAAAAAAAAAACAAAAAACTGTAGAGTCGATTATTCCGAGAGTAATGAATAAGAAAATGCAGAAACTATGTAATAGTGTGAATACATTGTTACAAATATCCAATGTGATGAAGACACGATATACGTACCGAAAACAAAATTCAAACAAAAATTCATTTGTTAATATAGTGTATATTGAATTTTATATGAACTCACATCAACTAGACGATCAACTCACGTTATCTCTTACTAGAAAATTCAAAAGTAAGTCGTTATCTTCTGAAATATTGAAAAAAAAGAAGACAACAAATTCGGTCATGTTGAATAGTTGGTACAATTATACTAGTATATTCACTTCACTAAATTTAACAAATTTATTCAACAGACATTTGTTTCAACCTACTAACTCATCATCAAAAGTTTAATACAGCCGACTACAACTCGGTTCTAATGAGTTTCAGTAGACCGAAACATATATCGAATGCATTAAGAAATTTTTCGCAACTCAGCCAAGCGAAGAGCATATTTCAAAATGTTTTCTGGAGTATTAACGAGAAATCGATTGATTAATATTCATGCAAAATGGAGGATTTTGTGAGCAGTAATAATCTCCCATTCCTGACGATAAACTACAATTATCGAGTATAAAAAGTATTGTTCAATCATTTCACCGTAATATTTCGTGACTGCTCTACATTATTCATTTGAGAACTAACTAGTTCCTGACAATAGGTCTCAATCTCCAAAATATTACCTTTAAGGTTTTCTTTTCATATAATCTACTTCAAACGTCGTCATTAACGTAATTTGAAAAGTTTTTTGAGTTACACTCAATAGTTTTCATGAAGCGTAATCGATATCATTCTCTGTCCCATCTTGTAGCAGTCGTTATAATCGCCAAAGTACACGAAAGGCTACAGGTTCCAATCCGGCCTGTATTCGGGACAAATAGGGCATTCGCCGACCCTTATCTCCACAACCCTAATACTCATTGTAACGCGAAAGTGCGCCCGCCACGTTCCGATCCCGGAAAATCCGATACGTGCGCTGGTGTCAGCCTCCGGAAGGACCCTTTCCAGAGTTTCCCGAAGGACCTCCGATCGATATTTTTGCACTTTTCGATACTACACAATACCTGCAGCTAAAAGGGAATACTCAGCCATCCTGTAACTCTACACGGAAATTCGATTCGCAGTGCTGGGAACGTTGTTGCATTATTTTTCGATTTCTCGACCGAATCGGCTTTTCACACTTCCGAAAATTCGAATAAAATGGAAATTGTTGAATGTGATTTGTATTATTATGACTTAAAGTTACGTCAGGAATAGATGTCGCTGTAGGTTTATATATACATACCGAAGTATGTACTTTAGTTTCAATTTTATTTATTAACTCAAGATACCAATTCAATTACGAAGTGGTTGACTGAAACTGTCACGAAAACATGAAATTTTTTTATTTTGCAATAATAAGTTTTCGAAACTTATAGTGGATTCATTGAAATGAAAGATGTTCTTGATCGAAGAATCGAATTATTGTTCTGATACGTCTATAATGATAACAAACTTGAGTTGAATGTTTTCACCTTCACATAACGAAAAAAACTGCCGTGTAGATGTTACAACTGAAGGGAACATAAATTTGAATAACAAGACATGGCTCCATTTCAGAGAATTAAAAAAATTGTTTCGCCATTTTTGAAGGTTTGATCAGTTAAGCTTTTAAAGTTTTTTTTTAGTTCAGTTTTGAAAATGCGAAAAATCGTTTAGCAATCGATATAATTATAATAAATTCAATGGACGATGAATCTACTCTGTGATAGTTCATATTTAAATGAGAGGTAATAATATAAAAATATTGTTTAAAAATCATGACTGATATATTACAATTAAATCTTTATTCGACTAGTTTCGCCTTTTCTTGATAATGCTGTAAAAGTTTCATGAATATTATCTTCTTAAGTATAGGAATCTTCAGTCAAGTTGAGTACCTTTAGTTTTATGACATCTCTTGTCCTCTTAAGTATTACCTTCTTTCGTATTAATTATCAAACTGAGTTGGTGAAAATTTTTCTTTAGTTCTAATTTTTTTTTTTATAAAGTTTGTTCCATAATTTCGTATTTAATTTCATATTATATCTATTATAGACTGTTTTTGATCTATTCGAAAATTGTCCTATTTTCACCCAATCTTATATCTCATGAGCTTCGAGACGAATAATTTTCAGTTCAAATGATATCTTGAAAGAATATTCGATTTTATTCCACCCTCTTCAGCATGAATCCATTATTTTCGCAAATCGAAGGAATAGCCTCTATCTGAAAATACACCCATCAAATTCTGGACGTTTCTTCGCTATCTGCGACTCCTTTCGTCGATATAATTGTCGAGAAAAAGGAAGATTGAATCTCGAGAATCAACATCTAGAGGTGAATCGATGTTAATTGAAAATCGTTCCACCCCAATTTACGTTGGCGGTGGCAGCAGAACATTATAGAACTCAAATATTTGACTGCAGATTATCTAGTCTTTGACTGCTGATTGGTATTGACTCTGGGATAACTCCCGCTGACGTTTGCCATTGATGGAATCCATAAATCGAACCGGTATTATATATTACAAATATGTCGAAGGGTGTCCACAGATATTTGAATGTGAATACTCCGTTTATTTTTGTAAATTTAATTGGATGTTCCAGTTTTCAACGCCGTGTAAGGGGTGAAAAATTGAATTGGACCAAGGCTCTATGGAAATTACTCCAGACTTTGTCAAAATATAATGAAGTAGGTGCATTTTGATTAATATTTTCGTTTGCAAATATGTAATTAAATGAATTAGAAAGAACATTTGGGCTGATTTCGTTATAGAAGCTCCATCTATTTACTCAACATATTGTTGAATTTTTCAAACCACTACAAAAACGGCCCTGAATAATGATAATGATAAAGATGAAAGCAAAATTAGCTATAACGGTTATTTAAAAAACTGTTTTCGAACTATATGAAATTCTGATTACATTTACGTTTATGGAGTATTGTTCAAAAATTTTATTCTGATGAGGTGTTTTAATATAATAATTTATAATAATATGCGGCAATGTTTATTGTTGAAATTTTTTTTTAATCCTCGATATTCTTTATCCAAAGTTTAAAATGATTGGGGACTTTAATTGACGTCCCAACGAATTGAACAATGGTATCAGAAACTATTTAATAGTTAGTGTTCGCGTTTACTTGAAGTTAATCCATTATAATTGAATATAAACTCAAATTCAAACACATGCACTTATGATTTACACTTTAGTGTGTACACTAGTTGTACACTTAAAGTGTAAATCATAAGTTCAAGTGTTTGAATTCAAGTTTATATTAAGCTATCAAAAAACTGAAATGAAAGTTTTTTCAATCGATAAAGCCTGTTATTGCTGAAAATATTCGGAAAAACTATATATTCATATATATATATATATATATATATATATATATATATATATATATATATATATATATATATATATATATATACGCTTGTAGTCACTTCCGGTTGATTGATTTATTGAACCCACTTTGATTCGGCAGAAATCGAGCAGACGGATCTCGAGCAAATAAAGCTGACAGGGCGTGAAACGTGGCAATCCAAACTGAAACGCGATTATTGAACTTATTGGAAGTATTTATATAGCGCACACAAAGTCTTCATTTCATCATTCTGAAGCGTTAAAGGCAGTTGGTGGAAGTAATACCATTGAAATTTTCTCGTAGATCAGACAGAGAGGAGTTATTGAATCAGTCGTGTTACAGCTTCCTCCGTTTTTCCAACATGTTCATTTTCCGCAAGATATATTAATGAAAAACGCTCGTTTTATTTCTTGATCTAGAGACTTTTCTCGGGTGAATTTCTTTCTCCAATTGTTCACTGGGATTTAAACATTTCGTTTTAATTCTGTTAAATATGTGAACTATGTTCATTATCATAAATTTTGATTGAAATAGAGAAATTAATGGTTTTAGAACTTTATTTCATCTTTAGCGAAAGTGGCGCACTGAGCAAGGTGTTAATAATATATCTTGGACTTTTCTATGATGTTCTCTTAGACATTCGAATGATTTTGAGTAAACATGACTGAAACAGATATTGACACGTTGAATCTACAAATCGTTCTATTTGTTAAATTCAATTCCTCCTAGAGTTCACATGACTCCAAATAACTTTAATGTTATTCATTACTGAAAATTTTTAATAGTAACCTTTTATACAATAAGTCTTTTCTGAATAATTCGAAAGTTGATGTAAAGTTGTATGCTCTGAAAAGACGTTAGCATTTAGAATATTCAGGATTAGACATGCGAGAAGTACAAAATAATATATAAGATATCGAAAGGAAAGGTGGAAAAATTCAAAAGATTCACTGTATTCTTACAGTTGCCCTATTCGAGAGTTAATAATTCAAAAACGAATATATCATTTCGCATCGTATTACAATGCGAGTTAGACGAACTGCAATAATATCGACCATCTACCACCACCGTTTTCGAATGTTCTTCAGTTTTCAATAACAGCGGCGTGCGAACGGGTTTAAAACCGCTCGATGCGACTCACTTGTATAAAAATTTCCCCCTACTACGACTGCATTTTCTGCAAGTACAAGAGCAAGAGAGGTCACTCCAGGGCAAAGCGACCCAAGTCCATGCATTCCTAACGTTCTATGGGTAATTGCCCGAGTCTATACGTTTTTCGAACAATGGATGTAGCGCGCGCAGATAGAACGCGCTTTGCGGTTTTAAAACGTTGGAGTATTCGAATTCCATTGCATTTTCATCATATAAAATGACACCTGAAAATTGTCGTTGGGGAAATGAGCATTAACAAGCGTTTATATGTTAGCGTTAAATGGTAG